TTATACAAGAAGAATTTGAAATATCTCAAATTATTTTCTCTTGAAAAAGAAGAGTTAGAGGGGATCTGAGTGGGATGTTTATGATTGTAAAGGGAATTGATAGTGTTGATGCATCATCATTTTTCATATTTAACAGTGAGAATAGTAGGATTAAGGGACACAAATATAACTTTTACCAGGGTAGGAGTCATCTTCAAGTACAAGTTTTATTTTTCTAACAGGGTGGTTGGCTTTTGGAATGGGTTATCTTTGGATGTTGTGGAGGCAGTATATTTAAGTGAGTTTAACAGAAAGCTTTATAACTACATAAATGATAAGGGCTAGCTTTAAGATTTTTTTTAAATTTATTTATTAATAGTTTTAGTTTAGTTTAAAGGAGAGGAGAGGACAGCGGAGATGGACCAAAAGGTCCCATGCTAATTGTCCCAAAACATTATTTTGTGTTAGATTATCTACCCAAAATTATATAAAATATTTTCATTCAACAAAAAAAGACACATTTCATAAAATTAGCTATAGCACTAAAAGCTTTTGTAAATAAATGATGTTGCAAAAAAGAAAATCAAGTTTTTAAATATGTCTGTACAATTCTTAAATACATAAGTATAAAAGTGTTTTGCCTAAGCAGTATATTTTTTAAAATATTCAAATATAAAACTATATTCTATATATATAAAACTAATATTCAAATAATGTTGTATCATCAAAACGTTAAAGCATAAAACAATTGTTTTCGATATATCTATATAACTGTCAAAATGTGTAAACACTGGAGTAAAGAATAAAGAGTAAATAAAGCTATAAAGTTTCAAGTATTTAAACACTAGCATTTATCTTGGAAAAAAATGATAACATTATATACAGAATAAACTTTTTTTTTTCAATGTTTCTTTATGAAGGTCATACAGATAGTGAAGACTAAAGAAGTTAGTACACACAACAGTTGAAGCAGAAACAAAGTCTCCTTAAAGCTAATTAGTAATATATTATAAACCTAACAGGAACTTTAAATAACCACACAAATGAGTTGAGTTAATTTGTATATATATATAAATATATATATACTAACCCAACAATGTACTATGTAAGAAAAAGTTAATGCTAGAGATATTATAAAGAATAAGTTAACAAACCAAAGTCATGATTTCCAAAAACAGCACAATGGACACCAAAAGCATTGAGGGAAGGTATCATCTGTTCTCCCTTGGTGAAGGTGCTCACTGAAAGTTCACAAAACAAGAAGTATTACATAAGTGATAAAGCTAACTTGTAGTGTTGTTTTCCCAGGTACATTTCAGTTATAAACATTAGTTCAACAATTTTTTAAATATCACAGCTGATGTGGTAATGAATTGCTTCAACCTATGATCAAATGTGCTATTTTTAAAAACCTTAGCTCTAGGCTTGTAAGTATGTTTCTTAAATGTTATTTGACAACAAATAAAAGCCTTATCTTAACTGGATAAAGTTAACAAACAGGTACTAATTACAAAACATTATAATGTACTATTTCAAAGCACTTATAAAACTTCAAAGCTTGTACTAGCTTTGGGTTTCTTCACTAAAAACCAGCTAAAGAGTGGCAAAATGGAAGAAAATTAATACTAAACTTTCTTATAATATACCATTCCAATATAAAACAATATGAATTTCAAATCCTAATCAGAAAATAGTACAATTAATTTTATTTGATACATCTTAGTTCGAGTAAACCTTGACTTGTGTCTAGTCTAGCACAGGTCACCATGGGGACTAAAAATTTCATTGTGGCACCTAGTATTTTCTCCCGTTTTATTTGTACATAGGACTGTGCTAAATAGAGCTCAAATCTAGTACAGTTTTGGACTCTTGGAAGTCCAGAACTATTTTCTCCTTCTTTAAGTCCTAAGTCAAACTTTTCTCTAAGATTTCAATGGCAGATTCAGCACTTCTTCATGTTTTTTCAGGAATGGAGTGCTGCAGTTGGACAACTGTTACTAATTTCACACCATTTTGTTTTCTTCTTTCTTTCAATTCAACAAATCAGTGAGCGTGTATAGACTCAGACAGGGCAAAAGGCAGTTAATTCAGGTAATACTATCAAGTGGTCGTTGATATCACGTAATAATTAGCATGCACTCATTACTGTGAATATAAAGAAATATACATAGCCCCCATTTCCCGGTACAAACAGCAGTGAAGTTAGGTCAGACACATCTGGCTCCTGAGTTTTTGGGATGGCTCCTAGATTTAAAAATATTTGTTGAGGCATGGTCTAGCAACAAAGAATAAAACAAAAGCAGACACTGTATCAATGCCTTTAAGAAAACATTGTTTTGTTAAGTTTCCTGTAGAGATATAATAATTCTATACTTATGAAAAATATAAACTGTGTTCCATAGTATAATGCTTATTATATATACTTCTAGTTTTTGTCTTCCCATATAGCAACACTGTTCACATACTTTTTAACTTTACATGACTAAGGAAAAATCAATTTGGCAGCATATTAGTCTTAGCAGTGTTCTTATAAGCATTAGAGTTTTATTTCAGGTTTAGGTTGCTGAAACAGAAGAACTGCCACATTGAATAGTTTACCCTTGTATAATAACACTTTGAAAGCTGCACTCTGATTTATTATCAAATAAATGACTTGAAAGTAACAACATCCCTGCACTTATATTCATTAATACTTAAAGGTTTTAAAATCTTCAGAGTATAAAACCAAATATCTAGAACCAGAAAGTCATAAACATGGTGTTTGATCTGTAATAATCTGCCTCTACTAATAAGAAAGTAAAACTATAAGCTCCTATAAATGACTCAGTTATTAAGTGTTTAGATAGGTTATAATTTACTAAGGGATTTATCTTTCTGACATTTGTTCTTACCTTTAATACATTATAACCTATCTAACCATATTAACAATCTCTGAAGCTCTTAACAGAGATTAACAAATCACTTGGGTGTGTTTACATTAACTATCCATGTTTTTAAACTGATTTTTCTATTTCATTCAATCCTCAGTCAATAAAGTATCACATTAAATCAACAACAAAGCAGCTATTATAGCTAATAAGTATCATAATAGCCACTGCTAGTTTTGCTATCCTATAATTTCAAGTACATAAATCTCCTGAAAATTGTCGATCCTTCTTTCCAAGATAAGATCTTAAGAAAATGTAGTGTTCTTGATGAGTCATATATAAAAGCAAAAATTATAAAAGGGAACTAGTAAAAAATAAGTTAGCAATATACTTTTAATTCTGTACTTTTTTGGTAAAGTGCCAAAAACCACAAGAATATTTTTACTTTTCTAAATATTGGCACTTTCTCAAGGCCTTCCTTTATGTTCACCCTTCAATGAATTTTATTCACTTTTTTAAAAAGCTGAAACTTCTTAATAGCAATACGTTAGTTATTTGTGTACAATATTTTATTTTTCTGAATAAATTATAGTAAAAACCAGAAACATTACATTCCTGACATGTTACAGATGACAATCTTACACCCACAAAAAAAATAAATTAAATACTGGTAACAAGTCATAATACCCTTCTTTCAAAAACTCTTGGCCTTGGACAATGAATATTATGTTCCATTACAAGATACCTTTAATTATTATACTTGTTCTATTCATACCAAAAGTTCTAAAACTAACAGGTGCAGTAAAAGTGATTTTGCTACACTAAACTGTTTTGTAAATATAATGAAGTAGAACAAAAGCAACTCCTACATAAAGCAATCATTATTTCTTGAAATACTTTCTGAGCTACTTCTGTTTCAGTCCTCAGCTACTTGTTCTCCTTTTGTGGAGCTAGCATGCTTCACTGAGTCCTGCTAGTGCTCAACAGACTACAAACAAAGAAAATACTATAATATATGCCTGCACATAATATGGTATGGAGTTTTATTTTTGCACGTCTGCTCATAATACTCTATGGTGTTTTCTGTTCATTTGTCTGTCCTTAATGTTGTGATACATTATTATGGACAGACATTCAGGTAGAAGAATCCATACATTATTATGGACAGACATTCAGGTAGAAGAATCCAGGATTCTTCTACCTGAATGTCTTTCCATAATAATGTATGGATTCTTCTACCTGAACGTCTGTCCATAATAATGTATGAAGTTTTCTCTTTCTATGTCTGCCCATAATAATGTATGAAGTTTTCTCTTTCTATGTCTGCCCACAATACTGCAAGGAGTTTCCTATTTGTATGTGTTCCATCACTAAAGTACACATGCTAATCATATGAGAGTTTGGTCTTCAGAGATCAGTAAGTTTGGCATCATCAAGTATGTCCTTTACTTGAATGTATGTTTTGTTAAAATCAACAATACTATTACACATTTGGTTATCCATAAGTGTACAAATTGTTTACTACTACACTATAAAACAGAACACACAAATGCTTAACATTTGGCTTTTTTATTGTTCTTTGAAAGAAATGTGACAAAATTAAATGGCCACATTATGTACAGTGTTGTATTCTGTTGTAACTTTTGTATTTTGTTATAATTATGATACAATTTAAAACATTTTTTTCTTTTTTGTTGTTGCTATTATTGACATGGTGTAAACATTTTCAACTCACACAATATTTCAGACAAAACTAAAAATATTTAGATATGAGTTTCTGTATTACATATACATTTATAATACTACTACTGTCATTTAGAAAAATGTTCTTGAAATTTTACAGTTGTGTATCTTGGAAGCACTATAACATATACTGCTAGCTATCTTTCTAATTTTTCCATCTGTAGTTGCAAGAATATGAAAACTTGTATACATATATATATATACTGTATAGAAGTTTATATCTATAGCTCAAGATGCAATTGCAACTACAATTTAAAATTTATTTCTCACTCTCAAAACTAAACAAGATAAGCTAGTTGAAAGATTAAGATATCTTTTATCTTCTTAATCAAGTAATATGTCTAATTAAATATACATTACAGTCTATTTTAATTTTTTTTCTTAAATACAGCATTTTATACAGAAACTGCTTAATGAGGACATATTTTTGTCAACTTTGAGGCATTCCTAATATCTGCAGGGTTTTTGAAATAACAATGATTCAGTGAAATAAAAAGTCAAAAGTACATAATGAACTCAGAATAATAAGCCTTGAATTTGTTTTTAAGGTCACTAATAAACTTGGAGTTTTAATAAAGTCCAAGAAAAATGATTAAAATACTAGATAATAACACTTACTTAAACTTAACAATTCCATTTTATTACTCAGATGATTTGTTGAATACCAGAAGAAGTTTATGCTAGTTTTTATACTTGCCACTTTCAAATGATGCATACCTAACAATCCCAGTGAATGTTTTCTCCAGAATTTATTTCACACACACACACACACACAAAAGTGATTTACATAAAGTCAAGTGTTTATTAAAAAAATCAGTAAAAATTGGACCTTTTAGATTTTTTTAGAATATTGGGGTGGTCATCCAACCCCCATCTCACCTATGTCCCTTTATGCAGATAAGCATTAATGGTAAACAATGTTTTATAAATTAACTTAACAAATAAGTATAAAATAGGTAGTTTCTGTCCAAACAAATCTACTTGAATATAAAATAGTAATTAACTTTGTAAAGTTGGTTCCTCCCTAGATTTTCAGAAATGAAAGTATGAATACAATAACTTTAAAATACTCTTACTGATTCTAGATTGTACAAACCAAGTTTCTAGCTTGTGGGAAGATATACAACTATACAGTACAGCCTCAATGAAACATACACCTACTACCATTTGGCTTGTAATAAGATAATGTTAACCCACATTCAATTATAGATTGTACAAACAACAAGTGTACACTATCTTCACCAAAATGTTAATGCAGCTGTTTGCATGTTTTATTTTCCATACAATACCTTCAACAACATATGAAGTCCAGTATAACTGATGAAACAGAATCACTTCATTTCATATTACTTTTAATAACTATGACAATTAATGTCTCTTTTTGTTACTTAAAAAAAATAAAGTACCTTAACAAGATATTTTATCTCACTTGTAAAATCAAGTGACTCAAAAGATGTCTCTCATTATCAAATATCACTTTTTATCAATTAAGAGAGTATATTTATAATTTTTATAATTATATTTTACATGTTAGTTTTAGTAACTAACACAATTATATCTCATGTTAAATGTTTACAGATTGTACTCCCTATTTTACCTGCAAAAACTGAAATTTACTTACTAAATGATGGAGCAAATATGTCACCACTAAAAAGTATCATAGGATCCAAGTCACTGAAGCTCTTGAGAGCATGACAAAATCTGGCTGCTCCTGCAGCTGGTTCTTGAGGCTGAGATTCGACATTGTAGCAGTCATTGAAATGAAGAATGGTCACAACAGCTTTCTCTGCCGGCATAGTTGTTTATTGATTGTCTTCACAGCAAGTACAATAGAAGTTAGCCTCAAAAATGTTTGCTAGAATGTAAGAAAAAATATAATATTTATATATTTACTAGTATATAAATATGCTATAAAGCTGTTTCATAAATCCAGTCCAAAGTATGCAAAATAGGTACTTCCATATAATACTGAAACTCAATCAGACCACTTTGTTACATATAGTTTTACAGATATTTGAAGCAGTATAATAAATGTTGTGCTTTCAGCTGTGTCAACTCTAAAACTTTTCATTATCTAAAACCTGTAGGTCAGTACAGAAATTTTTCTATTAGAAATTAAGCCTATTATAAAGAACACATAATTTCCTAGCCTGACAAAGGCACACTATACAATGCATGTCTATTATTACTTCAAAAATTATAAGATTATATACAAAATTAATGGACAAAAACATTTTCATCCCACTAAACTGTTCTACATTTCACATTCTGTATTTTATTTTGTTGAATATCTAATGTGCAAATTTCTTACCACACTATTTCTCTATCTACTGTCTTGCCAATTTCTGTTAAAAGGATCTAGCAAAGTAGTACACACTGAATGTTTTATTTATGTTCTACACATACACAAACTCAACTTATTAAAACCATATACATATACATAGCTCTGTGAAAATTTGCCGTTTCTCAATTAATGTTCTACAAGTACTTTTCTGTACAATCACTTTTGTGCAATAACAGCTTTTTTCTTTGTTTACTTACATAGTAAACAATCACTAAATGCTGATAAAAGTGATCAAAGTCCATGCAACACAAGTTCAGGTTATTTGTTATCTACAGTAAAAACAACAAATGGAACCTCTTAATTGGATTTTCAAAATGTTTGTTCCCAACAAACTGTCCAATGAATCACTTACCTAAAGGTAATAAACCTTATCACAAACAATATATTCATTGAGTCTAAAAACATTTCAAAAAAAAAGATTACACAGGAACAAACAGACATTTTGGAAGCACATACATGTTTTTATTATCTTAAAAAATTAACTTCACTTATTCTTATTAAGTGTAGTTTATGTTAGTTACTTGCCTGAATGCAGGTTGATGATTTTAAGCCAGTATTCTGTTCTGTAATTTGTTTCTGGCACAATTGTTACACAGAAAGTTATAGAAATACATGGATTAAAGTTTTCCCATTAAATGTGGATCACTGATCCCACATATTCCTAAAGCTATACCTTAATTTCCTGTGACATTTGGTTGAGAAATACCAGCTTATGACTCCATGTTTGATACTTTAACGTGTGCACTCGACAGAACAGCAGACTGTTTTCACTCTTACCTCTTTATATTAACAGTCAGTTTCAGCAATATGGTAAGTAGAAGGCAATGTTTTCAACTTACAAATATTCAAAAAATGTCAAGTTCTCAATAAAATTTGATATATTCTAACTGTACACCACCTCTTTCATAGTCTTTTCAAAACATAAGAAAAGTTTAATGGTATATTAACAGAATATTTGGCTAAAATCAAGGGGAATGCAAGGCATGGCCAATATAATGAAAAGCTTAATTAGCTATTAACATATAATTTTATTTGTTGCATAAATTCTAGAAAAACAAAGACCTAACATCAACATAGAAATTCTACAATAACATGACAGTAGCCACTCACACCCAACCGAACAATGTAATCAGGTATATATATATATACAAATAAATTTTACATTAAAAGGGGGGTGGAGAATTGCTGGCTTACTCTGATAATGCTAAACACAACATAAATATAAGTATTAGGATATTTTTCTTCTTGACTTTTATATTTTTGCTGGTATTAGATCTATGTAAATATTACAGCTAAGAGTTCCACATTATACTTACATGAAAATGTGGTGATCTGTCTCCTGTGATATGCAAGCACACAGCACACAGGTTATAATGTTAAAGTGTCCCATTGTACACCTTAGTTCCAACATCCTGTAGGGAAAGGCGTGCCACTCAGACTCACCTACTGAGTCACCATGACTGGTAAACATCTAATAGTGTGAAGGGGGTGGAAATTCTTAGTGCTATTGTTCTCCTAACCATGCTGTATGGTTTTGCATGCAAGATAAGTGGGAAAACCACTCTTGGCTGAAGGCAAGCAGCCTTAAATTATACATTACTCGTTTAAGTTAAACATAAACTTTTGCTGTATGCTATGGCTCAGAAAATTATTTTCTACAATTTCTTATATAATCACTAAATTTTAAATTTAGTGATACTGTTACTACAGCAAAAACTGTATTTAAATATAGCTTTTTTACACAATAAATGTTGAAAAGCTAAACAAGCTAAAACTATCCAAAAGAAACATGTTTAACTCAATAAAACTACCCTTAAGTCTGAATTATGGTCATTTAACCAAAATTTTAACCAGGTTTTAAGTATTAACATCTTTTCTCAACCTAACTTAGATTATGAAGGCAATGTATAAACATGTTCTTCATTTAAATTTTTTAAAGAAAATTAGAAGTTAGTTTCAACAGCTCCACATTTTCTTTAAATATGAAAATTTTTATACCTAAGAAAAAAATTCAGAGCTACAGATTAAACTTTAAATGTATCAGAATATCTATTTCTGAAAAGATAATTTAAAACATTAAAAAAAATTCTAAAATATCCAATCAAGAAATTTTTACTTTTACATTATTTTTACTGTGCTAATTTTAAAAATATTTTTTGGAGAAAAATATAATTCTAAGTGAAACAGGAAATTAGGACATGAGGAAGGATGTATGAGAAAAAATTGGCTGAAAATGTTAAATTAATTGTAAGGATTTTTTTAAATACATTAAGGGGAAACAAAATGTTAGGATAGGGATAGGACCCTTGACGGATGATAAAGGAAAGCTAGTGTCTGATGATTATGATATGGCTGGATTATTAAATTTTATTTTTTCTTCAGTTTTTACTAATGAAGAATTAATCAGTATTCCACATCTTGATCAGTTGATATGGAAAAGGTTCAGAGAAGGGTTACTAGAATGGTGCCTGGGATGGAGGAGTTGTCATATAATGAGAGACTGAAATCTCTCAAATTGTTTTTCTCTTGAAAAAAGAAGAGTTAGGGGGACCTGATTGAGGTGTTTAAGATTGTAAAGGGAATTAATAGTGTTGATGTACCATCTTTTTTATATTTAACAATGAGAATAGTAGGACTAGGGACAAGGTAGGAGTCATCTTCAGCTAAGACAGTTTTATTTTTCTAATAGGGTTGTTGGCCTTTGGAATGGGTTGCTTTCAGATGTTGTAGAGGCAGTAAATTTAAGTAAGTTTAAGAAAAAGCTTGATAAGTATATGAATGAAAAGGACTGGGTTTAAATTTTTTTATTTTATTTTTTTAATCATTTTAATTTAGTTTTGAGGATGGAACAGCTGAGATGGACCAATAGGTCCCATGTTGTCCCAAAATATTATGTTAAGTCCAATGTATATATATGTATCTTCAATGGAAGAAAAATAATGAAGTACAAAAATATAATTTAAAAGATTTGTAAGAATATAAAACTTAATTTATATCTTAGTATGATAAAACACTGTGTAAACAAAGATGAAAATAACCATTTTTTATTGGTTTTCAAAGCTTTAACAAATTAAACAAAAGAAAAGCATGTTATGTACATTCATATTTAATATACTCTTAAGTTTCTCTTACATAAATAAAACTTAACTAATAAAATTTTGTTATTATACAAGCATCTAATGTCATAGGTTATAATAATGATATATACATAACATCCATTTATAATGGCTGGAGACGGCTTGAATGGGTAATAAAGAAAAACTTTAATATAAGTTTAACATAACAGCAAATGTACAACGTTTCAACAAGGTTTTGTCATCATCTCCAGCCATTATTAGTCTCAAAGTGGGTTCCTCGTCACCGAATTTGGATAACATCTATTTGTTTAATAAGTTACCTAAACACGTCTTTCACTGGCACAAAAATCTCAATGCTGAAGAATTTCAATGAATAAAATAATTTTACATTTGTAATACAAAACCAAAAATTCCAAGTTTAAGTCATTGTTGTTTTTTTAAAATCTTAACCCTGAGTACACATAATATAGAAGTGTAAAAGTTTTTCATATAGAGTATTATCCCTCAAAAAAATCACAAGAATTAGAAAATATGTAAACTTCTTATAAACTTGCTATTGTGTTATTTCATACACATAGTTGAGAATACATATTACAGAAGCTTTCATCCATACAAAAACTTTTGAAAATAACATTAGAGTTAGAAAAAGTATCTAATTACATTTTGTTTTACATAACTAATGATTTTATATTTAAGTGCTTTATTAAGTTACATCTCATGTTTGTCTGTAGTGTGTAAATATCTGGGTTTTCTTCATATATATATATATATTGTAATATGCATTGTACTTTATAAATGATAACAAGGTTGAGGCATAGTACACTACTTTCTCAGATATGGTGCTGTGTTAACTGGAAAAAAAAGGAAAAGGTAATCAAGTAAATCTTTATATATGGTTGCTAGATCTGTGAAGATGGCTAGAGAAATATAATAAAATATGTGATATATTTCTTCCTGTAATGTAATATTTTCAACCAACATGTAAAATTTCTTGTTTCATGAAAAATATCTGACTCACAAACAAGTTTAAATGTTTTATGTTTGTTTTCTTCCTTTATAAAACTACATGCAACTGTTCTTCCACATGCAAGGTATATTACATAAAAACGCTGCAGTATTCAAATATGACTTTGTTTTAAACTCCTCAGATGTAATTTAGAATTTTTTTATAGCAATTTCAACAATTTATTGCTGTTTTTCTTATGAAAGCTACTTAACTAAATAATATGAATATGTAAATATTTATTTGACAAGTCATTAGGTCATTACTAAAAATTGTTGCGTCAGCGAGGTCACATGACTAGTATCATGCCACCTGTTTCTAGAAATATCCTGTTCCTTCAAGGATGCCCTAGCATTTACTAGATATGTGTTAGTCTTGTATATATAAGACGTTCACAACGTGACGGAACATTAAGGCAATGAGTAATTGAA